TCTCTTTTACTATTTTTTGACTATGTAGGGTTGCCAAAAAGAAAAAAAATTCTGCGCTTTTGAACAGAGTCTAGCCAGCAATCAAACATATGCTGTGACTTTTAATGGAAAAAATCTTACATGGCGCAAGATTTTTTCCGCCAAAAGTATAAGTTTGACTCGAAACCAGACACCATTTAAAATTGCAGACTTTTTTTTCTAAGGACAATTTTGCCACTCGTCGAGTTTTTTCTTGGCCCTTTTAAAAGCGCAACCTCTTCAATGCGTCTTCGAAAACTAGAAAGATTTCAGTAAATTTAGATACTAGACAATTAGACAGTAGCTTCAACGAGTTTAATAACGAGACTTTCTACAAACTTGAAATACAATTCACGGCTTCCTGGAAAACTAGCAAGATACAAGACAATTCCGCAGAAACTACACAATTTGACAGTAATTCCAAATATGTTTAAATAAAAAAGTCTTGACTTTCGAGTTTTGTGGTTTGAAATCACTAACACGTGCTCCGCCTAACAATCTTTCGCAAGAAACTCAATTGAGATAACCTTTGCCTTGTAAATCTACCTTTCTTTTAACACGTTGATCCATTGAGGAAACAACTAAACGAAGTTCTTTGCTTTCCTTTGCTTCTTTCTCCATGTTAATGCCACAGCATTTACACCTGAAAGACATATAAATTAAACGTCCTATTAACAATGGGTACAATGAAACCCAAAGGCAAAGAGAGTGTATGCTCAACAAAAGTTTACAAGCTAATTCTCTCATCGGGAACGCACTTATCGTTTGGTTATATCGTCATCATAGAAATACCCGGAGTTTACATAATGACATTAAGAACAACTTAAAACGAGGACAAGCAGCAACACAAAATAAATAGCACCGGCTAAATATAGCACTTTAAAATTAACCTTCATTCTCAAGGTTGCAGGCGAAAAGCTCATCAGCGAATAGCACACTGAAAAATATAAGGCAAAAATGTCGGCCGAGACGGGCAGTATTTGCATTTTCTTTCTGAGGATGAATTTATGCGTGGTTAATAGTCACCAATGCAATCTTAAAATAACTCGTGAAATTTTTAAAAACAAAAAGCTTTTGGGTAGCTTTACATTTTTACAGTATTAAAATCAAGGTTATGGACGCTTACGACCAAATACAACCAAAAATTGAAATATTTACGCAAATTGTTGTTCAAATGCACCACTTATGCAAACAAGCAAAAATCGTTTTCTAAGGGCCTCCACGGACTATTGACAAGTAGCATGGTGTGTGAGATGAGTTGTCGACAACTAAACGCTAAATTTAATTGTCGACAATTTAGCAGTTTCCCTTTTCCTGCTTTAGTTGTTGACAACTACGTTTTGATCGTTTTTCACGTGTGTGGGAATCATTGTGTCAAACATATGACACACATTTGAGCATGCGTATTGTGTTTTGAGTATGCGTAGTGAACATTAGTTTCTGAGGTCTCGCATTGCAAAATTCGGACCAATCAGAATTCTCCTTTACACCGCTGACCGGTTCAGCCATGCAACATCAAGACAATATCCTCTAGTTCTTAACCTTTCTTCTCATTGCTTAGTCCTTATTCAGAGTCCTTGGTCAGAGAACAAATTCTTCTTTCTGGTTTTGAGTTATCTAGACAACTCTTTTTCGAGATTACT